GGCATTAGAACTTTGGAGATTTTAGCCCCACAGATGGTCTCCCAACCACCCTCTCTAATCCCTATGTGGGCTCCATGTTGTCCCCAGCCTGACACCAACTGCTGTTCTGTGATGTGTCTTCTGAGTGTTCCTGCTGCTTGAGCTTCTGCTGATGCTACTTTCTGGAGCTAGATGGTCTCTTTCATGCCAGCTCTCCCAACAGAGCTTTCCCTGTGAGCCCACCTAGAAGTCACTGTTCCATCCTCTCACCTCTTAAAGGGGACACTGTCTATATTATGGAGTCCCCACTCTCTAATTGCCAAAAGACTGTAACTCCTCAAGGGCAGGGATCTAACACAGAGTGTAATGCAAGTAAGGAATATTCACCTTATTCACTAGAAGGCAAGGTAAAAGTTAAAAGTAGATCAAAATGAGAGCCAGAGAGCCCTGGTCACCTCCTGGCATGGTCTAGGCTGAAGCACTTCCATTCTTGCTTCCAAGACCCAGCACTTCCTGGCTTGCTTTACTCCATACGAATTTCTTTCTCCCTATCAGGGACTTCAGCTCCTTTGTGGACTTGATATTTGCTTTCACCTCATAAACTGTGTCTGCCACCTTGGCTGGGCTCCACCCGGGGTCCTGATTTGCACCTCGGAGGCATCATTTGACTCCTCTGTCCATACCCTGTCGCATCCTGGATATATGTCCAGGGCCCTGCTCAGGTCCAGCAGTGGGCAATGAGCCACAGTTAGTACTGAGAAAAGCACCCCCGCACCCTCTACAGCCCCAGGAAATTCCCTGCTTGGCAGGAAATGCAGAGCTGTCCATAATGATGGCAGAGGATGACACCATGGCCCTTCTAGTGCTCAAAGAACAAAACTGGCAGCCATCTGGCTCTTCTCCCTCCCTGCCTTGACAGCCTGTCAGTTCCACCTTTGCAATATCTTTATTATCCATCCCTCTCTCAAACTCCACAATCCTTGCCTTCAACTGGGGCTCAGTATTTCTCCATTGGACCTGAGTGAACTCTTAACCTGTCCCCAGTGTCACCTCCTCTGCCCATCTCTGCTCAGCTGCCCAAGGGATCTTTTAAAATGCTTTCCCTGCCACCCAATCACACTGTAGGTAACGAAACTCCTTAGCAACCACCCGTGGCCCTTTACAATCTGGTTATGGCCTGTTTCATCAGCCTCATCACTTACCTTCCAACACCCTCCCCATGTCTGCTCCATCTAACTGCTTTCCATTCTATCCTAAGTCCCCTTGCATGGAATTTTAGGACCAGCCCGAAAATCAAACACAAAAATTGTAATAAAGGCAGCAACATCGTTTAGCTTGCTTGTTCATTCACTAAAAATGAAAACAAGCTGCCATTGCCATCAAGTTCCTCAGGGGAACAGGAGGTGACAGGAAGATCCCAAAAATGCCTGGAAAGGTGGAAAGCTGGCCAGCTTCTGCATGAGGGAAGAACAGGCCAGCTGAGGCTCGGTGAGCCACAGCACGGGAGGTATAGGCAAGAGTCTTGCTGCTCAAGGATAGGCGTTCATTTGGGAAGGTCACCGGGCCTTCCCAGGTTGCACAACACAACCTGGTCCAGAGCAATCCCTTTCCATTTCATGTAATAGAATTTCCCCCAGAAATTATAAGCCAAGCAGCTCATCTTCCCTTCTTTATTGAGCTATAAGCAGACTGCCATAGTCATGAGCAGATAACTGCAAATCTGGGCAGTGATCTATGAAATCAGAACAGACCTGAGTTTGGAGATGTGATTAATTAAAATTTGTAACCAAGTTCATCCCACATATATTTAATGTTATGCATAAGTGCTTTTGTGTTGATTGGAAATTAGGCCCAAAGAGTGGACCTAAATCTGCAGAAACACCGCAGACCCTGTGATTCTTAAACAGACAAACCTTATTTTGATTCTTCCCTCAGTTACTGCTTCTGAATCCACTAGGAAGACAGGAAGGTCATTTCCTGCTCATGTCCCCACCAAAACCCATGCATTTCTTGTGCACACAGGGACACATACACTCGAACAGTGAAGGGCATCGGGCACTTCTGGCCTTGAACTAAGGTTGCCTATGCTTGCACTTGGGGGACCTCTAGAATGGAAAAGGCTTGGCATTTACAAGCTCTGTGACCTTGAACAAGCCCTTCAGTCTTCTAAAAAATGAGGACAGCCCAAGCTCATCCATGGAGGCTGTGAAGAAGAACTAAAGAGACATATGAGGACTACACCGCCTACCCTGCCTTCAGAGGAGGAGAAGACTTTTCAATCACAGAGCTAGGGAGTGGGATTCATACGTGCCAACTCTGTGTAAAGACACTACTTACTGTGACAGATTTTACCTGCTCCTGCAAGTATGGTTCAAATGAAGCCACTATTTGTGTTCATCCTCTCTGGCACAGTACAGAGTCAGGGATTTCTGGCCATCAGGCCCAGGCTGGGGCAGCTGAAGCAGCCCACCAGGTCATACACAACACTCCAGCTGACCTGCACCAGGCTCCCTGCCACAGTCAGGACTTGTTTATTTGCTTTACTAAGTGTGAATTAAAACACCAACAAAAAGGCTAATTTGCTTTTATGCCTTCTGGAAAAGTAATGTATTTATCTGGTACACACTTTGGCTCCTATGGTTTTCTATAGGCCCTTATAATGCAAGGTGATCCAGGAGTGTGCATGCCACAAGCATGGGGGCTGGCGCGAAGAGGCTGCCCAGAGGTCCAAACAAGGAGGGTCCTGGCCCCAGGGGGACAGGGAGATTCCCAAGGCCTCAAGGTCAATGGGAAGAGCTAGAATCCAGTCAGGGCAGAAAAAGTAAAGAGCGTTTCACACCCAGAAGTCAGGGGTAAAGCCAGATGTAGACATCTGCAGGTATCAACTCCAAAACTGAGACAGTAAAGCTTCATCCCACAGGCTCCTAGCTTATGTGAATTCTGTTACATGTGATGGCCTCACTAAATCAATAAAATAATAATTTAAGTGTAAAATAAAGTATAGCCAAAATGAAATGATTTAAGCTCACTGTCTTCCGGGAACAGATGTTCCAGAGGGAGTGTGATGATGGGACAGAGAATTTACCGGTCCTTCCTGCAGCACAGCAACTCCCCTTTCTACTTACCAAGAAACGTGATTTTGTTCAGTTTCAGGGACAGGGGCAGAGATCCTGGCAGGCCACCTCCTTTGCCTGTGATTGGTCAGGCATGAGCACGTGACTGAACCCTGGCCAATGAGATATAAGAGGAAGTGCCTGGAGGCCTATGGGAAATTTTTTCAAAGTCCAGGGACAAGCAGGCCCTTTCTCTGCCGCTTCCTGCCCTGGATGCTGTGGTGTCAGGATGTGATGCTTGGGGCTGCCCCAGCCCTCTGGTGACCATGAAGGCCTAGAGAACTGCAGAGGTGAAGGGCGACCCAGAGACTGGTCTCATTAAGTTGCTGCAATAACCTGGTGTAGCCTCTCTCTCTATACTTTATTATGTGAGTTGCTAAAATATCTTTACTACCACAGCTACTGCTGGTCATTTATTCAATTGCTTGTGTCCTCAAGCATCCAAACAGATCTATCTCAGGAGGCTTCAATTCTTCTCACAGTGTGTGCACCTTTGTGGGCCAAAGTGTGATTCCACTGTCTAAAGACAGGTACTTTCTATCTAACGTGGCCCCTAAAGTCAAGGCAGCTACTTCACCTGGGTTGTAGCTGAAGAGAGACTGCATTTGTATTGGAAGACCTCCCACTCTGTGGGTCCTGGAGAAGGATGGTATGTTGAACTCCAATGTGGGTCTATACTGGGACTCTTCTAAGAACTGTTCTGAAGAAACATGAGTTTTGGTTGACACTGTGACCTCAGAATCCAACCTGAGGGGAAGCTGCCTCCTGAGCCTCTTAACAGACCTCTCACAGCTGCACTCACTGTCCCCACAGGCACCAACTACAGGGAACTTTCTGAGGGTAGCTTTGTGTCTCAGGGGACTTTTACACCCTCAGTGGATACCTGTGCCTTTCCTGCTTCAGGGCTGGCTGCTTGCCCACCTTTGCCTGTGGTCCCACACAGCCTGATGACTTGAAGAAGCCTGAACACACCAATGCTGACATCTCTGTGTTTTGTTCCTGCTGGTCTCTGCCTAGAATGCCCTCTCTACCCATTCCTACCTATTAAACCTTGCTTCCCCAGCACTTAGCACACATTAGGCCAACCATAGAAGGTCTCCTTAACTCAATAATGAGAAAAACAAATAACCCAATTAAAAAACAGGCGGAGGATTTGAAGAGACCTATGTCTAAAGAAGATACACAAATGACCAATAAACACATGGAAAGATGCTCAATATCACTAATCGCTAAGGAAATGAAAATCAAAACTACCATGAGAGGGGCGCCTGGGTGGCTTGGGTTGGGCGTCCGACTTTCGCTTGGGTCATGATCTCGCGGTTCGTGGGTTCGAGCCCCGCGTCGGGCTCTGTGCTGACTGCCAGCTCAGAGCCTGGAGCCTGTTTCGGAGTCTGTGTCTCCCTCTCTCTCTGACCCTCCCCTGCTCACGCTGTCTCTCTCTCTCTCTCTCCTAGAAACAAATTTAAAAAAAAAAAAAAAAAAACTACCATGAGATACCACCTCATGTACATGAGGACTATTATCCAAAAAAACAGTGTGTTGGCGAAGATGTGGAGAAATTGGAACCTTTGTGCGCTCTTGGTGGGAATGTAAAATGATGTGGCCGCTATGAAAAACAGTACAGAGGTTCCTCCAAAGATTAAAGATAGAATTACCAGACGATCCAGCAATCCTATCTCTGAGTATACACCCAAAAGAATTGAAAGCAGCCACATGAATGGATACTTGTACATCAATGTTCATAGCGCCATTATTCACAGTAGCCAAAAGGTGTAAGCAACCAAGTGTCCACAGATGACAGAGAAATGGATAAACAAAATGGTTATATATATAACATTTATTTTTGTTGTGTATATATATGTGCATGCCTATATATATGCTTATACATATAATACACATACAGTGGGATATTATGCAGTCTTCAAAAGGAAAAAATCTGACGTATGTTACAAGATGAAGACATTACGCTCAGTGAAGTCAGTCAGTCACAAAAAGGTAACTACTGTATGATTCCATAGATGTTTGACTACCACCTAGAGCAGTCAAATTCATGGAGACAGAAAGTATAATGGTGGCTGCCAGGGGCTGGAGGGAGGCGGGAATGAGGAGTTGTTGTGTAGTGGGTATAGTTTCAGTTTTGCAACAGGAAATGGTTTTGCAGATGGTTGTAAAACAGTATGAATGTACTTAACACTATTAAACTATATACTTAAAAATGGCTAAGATGGTAAATTTTATGTAATATGTAATTTACCACAATTACAATTTTAAAACTAAAGGTCTCCTTTGTTAAGCCTTCTCTGATGCCAGACTATTGATTACACCGCATTTTTTTCAATAATCTGCCTTAACTCCTGGTTTTCTGTTCTTTCAGGATTGTTTTGAGACATACCCAGTTGCCAAAACCAAAAGAATTAGAGAAATGGAGCCAGAGCCCTGACCGAACTGCTGCATTTCAATAACATGAACCAATAAATCCCCTTTTTAACATTAAGCTAGTTTGAGTTAGTGTCTTGTTACTTGCAACTAAAATCAACCTGAGACTATACTTGGCTTGAAATATCAGAACACTAAGAAGAAAAGACACTAAAGACTTCTAGGGAATGAACAAAAGCACATTCATAGACAAAAGGCTGAAAATAAGATGGCATCTAACCCCTCATTTACAACATCAGATGCTAAAGACAATGAGCAATGTGTACATATTTCTGAGAAAAGAGGACTTTGAATCTGGCTAGATAACTAATGGGGATAGAAGAAATACATTTTTTATACATGAATGGACTTAAAAAAATTTACCTCTTGAGTACTCTTTCTTCAGTAGCTTTTTGGAGTTTGTTAGCTCTTTGTTTCTAGCAAAACAAGGAAGGAAAACCAATAAAAGTAGAAGACAGGGATGGTGAAGCTAGGATGAAAGCTGTACAGGCTGGAGAGCACTGTGCAGAATAGGAAAGTGCAGGCCTTTATGAAAAAAGAAAGAGAGGAGAGGTCAGAGAGGTTGGGTCAAATGGGGTTATGGTGAGAGCCCTTCTCTTTCAACTATAACCACCCTCCCCCCCCCAAAATCCAAATAAAACACAAAGTTATACTATGTGGTCCAAAAATAATGTAAATTAAAATGTGACATAATTTTAAGCTCTTTATGATATATGAGAAAAGAAAATATATTTGACCCTGGTAGTAGGAATTTCCCTATGATTGGTCCAGGGCTACTTGACCCTGGAGTGAATATTTTTGTGGTCATAATGATTTAAATACTATTTAATGGTGTTCATCTTTTAGGATCAATCTAGTAAAAAGGCACAGAAGGCTTAACTGTGATTAGAGAATAGAAAGATAATGTTACCTTCTTGGCAAAGTAAGAATACAGCTACCAAAGCGAAGTGTTTGAGGAAAGAACAATGAGAAAAAGGGGGAAAGCATCAGGGTTTTCTTTTTACCTTATGAAAAATCTAGGCTCTGGTTAGTTTACCAACAACAAGAAAAAAACAGATTGGGTTGTATGAGATATAGGGAAATGGTACTTTAAACAAGCCAGGGCATAACTTCTCTCCTATAAAATCTTGGGAAGAAAGGCAGGTCAGGGATAGTATAGAACTCTGATGTCATCAACATCCCAGAATCCTTGTTGATTTCTCTGTCATTCTTATAATATGCCTTCCATCTACCCTCAAGATTGTCTCATGATCACATGATGGCTGCTGCAGCTCTAGCCATCATTTCTGTGTTCCAAGTAAGAAGAAAGAAGAAGAGAGAAGGGCAAAAGAGGTCTACCTGCTGAGTCAGCCCCCTTTTAAGAACTTTCCAGACGCACGATCCAACAACTTCTTATATCTTACTGTCCAGAACCCAGTGACATGGCTGCTCATATCCAAAGAATAAAACTGACCAAATCCTAAACTGAAAAGTATAGTTTTTTGGATGGCACACTGCTGCACTCAACAAAACTGGGCTTGCTTGTAAAGAAGGAAGGAAAGGAAGGAATGGATATTGGGTAAGTTACCATCTATGACTCAAGAGATAGAAGTATATTTTTTAAATTAAAAAGGTAACCAACAAAAGAAAAAAAAATAACAGAGCCATCCAAAGCTAGAGGAAAGAGGAAGGGTGCAGACTACAAGTTAAGTCAACCTTTCATAATGGGACTCAATGGCTATCTTTTCTGGATACAATTTAGAGTTGTGCATTTAACCCACAAAATAATTTAAAAGGACCAAAGAGGCTATCTTTTGGGAGGTAGGGATGGAGCTATAACTTTATATTAAAAGCCCTTTTGAATTAGGTGAATTTTTAAAAAGCCATGTGCACATATTATTTTGATGACAAAAGTAACAGTGTCTAGTCTAATCTCTTGGAAAACAGAGCTCCACTATATTTCCTTTCCCCTTGGCAACCTGGATCAGTGGTGGGCACTTTGGTCTGTTTTTAAGCTCCCCTCGCTGACTTAGAAAGTGACAAAAGTCAGCCTTATTCAGGGCTCTCATTATCTCACTTCTTTCAATGGATTTGTTATTTTTTAAACTCTAGCCATTAACGTCCAAGATCCTTTACGAGATGAGGGAGGAGACTGGCAGACACATTACTTCTGTGTCTGGTGGGGAAGGTCCACCTATGTGGCACCCTCTGTTGGAACTGAGGCAGCCAACATCTCCCCATGCTCATTTTCCTGTGTGCTCACAGACTGCTGTGCAGGGAAGTGTGTGCTCTACTGCCTGGTCTACGCTCTCAAATCGCTGTCCTAATACCTCTATAATATATTAACAGGCAGTGGCCAAAGGGAGTTCTGCTGAAATAGGCAGTAGTTTGGGCCATTTTGGACAAAATCCTAGAATGCACACAATATTGCTGAGCTATGCAGTTTAATTTATGAGCATGCAGGTCTGCTGTGAAATTGGGAAATGGAAGTATAAGACATTAGCATTCACATGGCAAGGGCAGGGCCAAGTCCAAAACTGTAATATGCCTTTCACAGGGAGGACTGGAGAGTCTGAAAGAGCAGCCATGCTCTGTCAGTTAAATGTGTGCCCGCAAACCTCATCCCTGTATTTTAATACCACCAACCACCTGCGCTTCTCCAGGCCTTATGCCCTTAATATTGCCCAACACTCTGCATAGTTTTTAACAACAACTTGTCCGCACCTCTTCTGGACAGATTTAAAAGATGAATTTATTGGTCTGGATATGCTTTGATCTGTAGTAGGGACAGTAGGGCAGACGGATTCTCAACTTCTTTCTAGCTAAGGCATGCAAACTATTATACAGTGAAATATTTCCAAATTACAAAGGGAAGACAGGCACGTTTGTAACTTAATTCACAGCAGTTGTACATGCTGCTCAAGCCATGTATTCTCCAGTTAAAGGAGAGTCAGAGTCAGAGATTTTGTCTGACCCTGACTTTCTAGCCCATTTTTCAATGCACAGAATAAAATAACATCTATTTCCGCCTTCTCATGAATGAAAACACACCCTTCTAAAGAGTCCACAGGAAACATCAAGCATGCTTCAGCAGTTAAAGTATGCTGGAAAACACACTGGAAATTGTAACAGGCTGAATAATGTCCTCCAAAGAAATCAGCTCCTAATCCCTGGAACCTGCAGATGTTACTTTATTTGGGAAAGGGGTCTCTGCAGATGTGATTAAGGATCTTGAGATGGGGAGATTACCCTGGATTGTCTAGAGGGCCCTGAGCGCAATCACATGGATCCTTTGAGGGAGAGAAAGGGAGATTTGAACACAGACAAGGCCCTGCGAAGACGGAGCAGAGAGAAATCTGGAGACGCCGGCCTTGAAGACTGGACTGATGCAGCCACAGGCCAAGGAAAGCCAGCAGCCACCCGAAGCTGAAAGAGGCAAAGAACTGTTCCCCCCTGAAAAAGATTCTCTCAAAAGGGAATATGGCCCTGTTGACACGTGGATTTGGGGCTGTGAAACGGATTTCTGATTTTGGCCTCCAGACCTGTTAGAGAATATATTTCTGCTGTTTTAAACCACCAAGTTTGTGGTAATTTGTTACAGCAGCCCTAGAAAATTAACACACTCACACAGAAGGGCCAGAGGCGAGGGTTTCAGTGTTTACAAAAAAACATCCCCAACACTCTATGGTTCTTTTAATGGTATTTAGCAGAATTCAACCTCCTGCCTCCAGCTAGTGGGGCTGGAGAGTGTTGGAACTCAGTGCAGTCAGGTCCACGAAGCACAGACTAAGAAAAGCAGTCACCTTGCTCCTGGGTCCCTGGGGACAGCTCTAGGCAATATCCCTTCCTGAAGCAGGGTGCTATGTGCATGAAGAAAACGTGTTCAGTCCTTACAGCAAAAATGTGAATAGGTAAGTGTGAAGGGGGTACCAAGGATTTAAGAGATTTCCGATAAATTAACCTTATAGCTCAGACAGGGCTGCATGGGTATGTGTACATGTCAGGGGAGTACATCTTTAAACAAATGCGATGTAATTATTAATAAACATGGCCAGATGCCTGCAAGCATATGCTACAAGGCTGTTCTCTGAGGGTTTCTGTAATAGTGAAAAATTAGAGACCCAAATGTCTACCAACAGGGGAATGGTTAAGTCTCATATGATATGATGCCGCTATTAAAGAGTAACATAATTCTACATATGCTGACATTAGAGGTTATGAATGAGTAAATGTTGGGTTAAAAAAAAAAGGCAAGTTGCAGATAGTATCACAGTGTTATCTCATTTCAGTTCAACAAAGCTATCTATGCTAGCGTAATACACAGAAATACTATAGAATAGAAACACTTCTGAGTGTGTGTGTATCCACCTGATAGGTACACCGCAAACAGCGAGTTATTACCTCGGAGGAAAGGGGAGGTTGTTGAGGGGACAGCAAGTGGAATGGCCAGACGGGGACATCTAACTTCATACAAATGAGCCTCCTCCCTAAGTGTGTACTTCTGCGGACCTAAGAAAGAAACAATGGACATGTCACAGCAATGCCCTATGAGAACCTCGTCTGGAACAGTGTCAGGTAAACAGTGGGGGCCCTCAGGAACTGCGTGTCGGAGGAGCACTGTGCAGCAGGTGGTCTTTAGAGATTGGCTGGGGCTTCTGGAAGCTGTCTGGAAGCCGGCTCATGGTGCAGGGCTGGAGGCAACAACCTTGGCTCTTATACCAGGCTCCCCAGTAGTGCCACCATGTTTTTATTTAAAGAAAGAAAGAAAGGCACAGGCAGGAGACCAAAGTCCCAGGCAAGTGTGTCTTCTGTCTCTTCCACAGGAGTGGGGCCAAGCCACTGTTCACCAACTCAGTGGTTTACACCAAAGCCAAGGGAAATCTGTCTTTTGAACACATTCTCAGAGAAATTCTGCACGAGGCTGTTTCTAAAGGTTTGCACGCCCCCTGGAAGGGTAGTTTTCTCACCCAGTGAGCATGCAGTCCCTGTGCCTGCTACTGAGCACAGCCCTCCTTGCGATGGTGAGCCATGCAGCAAGACAGGAGGCCCTATGCCTTGGAAAGGACCCTTGTTAGCCTC